GTGCCCATATATGGGCACATCACATTTTTTTGTCACATAAAATTTGATAGTGTAGACAAAGCTTAGTTCGTGAAATCACAGTAGCGCGTCAAAACGAGCGCGTATTGGTTGTCAAGCAATTTTGTATTCTTTACCACACAAAAAGTCCTTAACGACAGTAGCGCGTATTTTGACGCGCTTTTTTGATTTCACGAACTAACACAATTGAATTTAATTGTGTTAGTTCGTGATGTGAGCGACGATATGACCACAGAAAAGTGGGATTTGACTGGAGGTGTCTTTAGTTAAAGGGAGACCTGTATATACAATATTGCTTCATGGTAGCTAGGCCCTATAACAGCACTGCCAATAGAACAGAGGCAGATCCAGGACTTAACGTGGCAAGGGGAGGAGGTGGTTAAGCTATATTACAGGCCATCTGACACTTAGGAAAAGTGCTGGTGGAGTCTTCGTGGGGTAGCTTCACTGGCATTTAATGGAATTGGGCAATTTCAGATAAATTTAAGCTCCTGTTTTTGGTGCATTTTATCCCAACATTTTTTTTTCTTGAAAATGTCCTTGATTTGTTATCTTGTCTGATGAGATTTGTTATCTTGTCTGATGAGATTTGTTATCTTGTCTGATGAGATTTCAGCTGACAACAAGACTGCCATCCCCTTCCCTTGACGCAAGCACTGTTAAGAGGCTCAATGCTTGAAGACAACAGCAAAACCAGGAAGTATAAAAATCTGAATATAAATCAATATATGAGATAGTTCAAGAAATTATGAAGTCCACAATAATTTAAAATTAGATAAAAAAAAAAGGTAACTATATTTAAAATGTGTAACTGCCTTTAACATGGAAAAAAATGCTTATTTTATCACATTAATTACTTCAATAAGTTATTAATTTCAACTGAAAATTTTAACAATAATCGTTCTTTCATCAATTAAAAGATGTTTAAATAATATCATTCCTCATATTCTTAAACAAATTAATGGTCTGAATTACAGTATTTATTTTATCCAGTTCATAGAGATGATCACTTAGTTTCTGCTATGATAACAGAGGACAGCAGACTGAAATTTTCTGCTATCAGCTAGGCTGATATTCTACACGAGGCTCATAGGACAGTTGTCTGGAAGGTTGTACCTGGATCAACTTTGCGGATTGCGTTGCAGATGAATCAGGGTGCATTGCTAGCAGAAGCCGCTGGGTTTCCATAGAATCGCTACACTGTCGCTCCTTGATACAACTGACCAATCATCGTCGCCAAAGGAGTCGGCGAACCTGACACAATCGGCAAAGTTGAACTAGGTTCAACCTTTCCGGCGGCTGTCGCCGATAGGGTCAACGATTCTGTTAAAACCGACCTTCAAACTACTGTATTTTTGTGGGGGCTGTAGACACGTCTCATCTCATTTGTACGTTTTAAGAGTGAACAGTGAACAGTCCGTCTTCCAACAGAAGCCTATGAAATAATGATGCCCATGCCTAGTATAAGACCTGTCAAAGAAAGAGCTAAAATTCAACAATATGTTACACAAAAATGGATGGGTTATGAGCCAAAAAAAAAAAAATTTAAAAAAAAACTTATGTCAAGCTGTAGATTTTTCTACCTCGGCAGTGTCCGGTTGTTTTGTGTTCTGCGGCACCTATGGATCACAAGAATACTCTATAATAATAATAATAATAATAATAATAATAATAATAATAATAATAATAATAATAATAATAATAATAATAATAATGACTTTATTTAAAAACGGAAAACTTGATCACAAATTAAATGTTTTTCACAAGGCCGTTTCTGAAGTACATAATAACAAAATTTAAATTACAAAAACAATTACAAGACAAACAGAAATAAAGAAGTAAAAGAAAACAAAATAAAACAATTACTGTATTATCTTATGCAAGTAACTTTCATTTATTTGTTAATAGTTTTTTAAAAGTTTGAACATTTGGGGCCATTCTCATATTGAGGTTTAGGTTATTCCAGACAATGGCTCCCTGATAGGAAAAACTTCTTTTCTTATATTCTGTGCTTGGTTTGGGTACCTTAAGTATGTCCTTAGACCTGGTCATGTATGTTGTATTGCGTTCTTGAAATTTGTTTTTTAAATAAGTTGGCATTTGAGAATTAATTATTTTAAATATGGTTATAGCTTCATCTTGATACAGTTTGGTGTTTAAATTATTCCAGTTTAAGTTTGTGAGTGCTTCTGAACTTGAATCATGTCTTGCGACCTTTGTAATAATTTTAGCAGCCTTATTTTGTAATATTTGAATTTTATTTTGTAGAGTTTGATTACATCGTCCCGACACAACATTGCAATAATTAAAATGTGGTGCAATTATTGACTTGTTCATTGACTGTATGTTTGGGGACAAGATATAATTACTTTTCCTAAGGTAGTATAATCCAGGAAGAACTTTGTTTATTACATTATCAATTTGTTTATTCCAAGTTAGATTTTTATCTACGATTACCCCTAGGTGTTTACGGTGATCAACAGGTTAATAACGCCAATTGTCAAGCTCCCATAGGAAAACCAGGGGCAGGAATTCCCCGAAGGGGGAGGGGTACATACCCCACGCACCACTGCAAACCATACGATGACAACAGTATACAACACCTCGCACGACGGCTAGTAGCGCTGCTCGCACTAAACAGTTTTTAATCCCTAAAATTCTGACAGCTTTAGTAAGACATGCTTGAATTGTGCTTTCGGCGCTCGAGATTTGATTTTTCCCGGCGACCTCCTCCTGGACCCCCGCTAACACCGCCCCTAAAGAAAACATATCGGGAACGATTAAATGTGATACATATTTGTTAATATTTAAAAACTGGAGGAAAAGATTGGTTACGCCCCCTTTTACCCCAGTTTTTAAATATTAAAAAATACAAGTTTTTCGTCAAATGTGATTTTCGTGTCGTGTCAGTTGTACAACATATCAGACATTTTTCCCCTCCGGAGCCTGGCTTTATATAATGATTAATAATTGAATGGTATTCTATTAGGGGCATGTATGTGGCCAAATCTGGGGAAATTGAAACATTTAAACGCTAGGAAAGTTATGTTGAATCATGGTTGAAACAAGGTTACATTAAACATAATCGGTATTTTTATGATCTTTATGTAGCTACCAGTAATGATAATGTAGCCTGTAATGTAAGTAATAAATTAGGTTTAATATTTTCTAATACTAACATTATTGACAGTTCGCAAAATTGGTCTATACTATTGTTTAAAGAAGCGTTTGCTATACGCAGGCTACACAATATGTATTTGTAAAGCAGCTTTGATCAGTAGGGTAAGAATGCTTTGATCTTTAGTTTATTCATAGCTATGTCACCTACTAGGGGTAATGTTTTGATTGGTCAAACACTTTTGGTACTTGGTGCATATAAGCTTGTAATAAGCTTGCAAATATGGATAATTCTTCATTCCTGATGATGACATATAATTAATGTCCAAATATTGAATCCCAACACGATGGCGTGCATTTCGATACCTGGAGTATGTATTATACTATCCTACCAGTAAGAACAATCAGAAAAACGACTAGGTAAAATATTGGCTTGATTTTTTGTTGTTTAGTGGAGCCTACAAATCACAGAAACCCTCAGTGCAGTTTGATAAATGCGGCCGGCAATTTAGCCTGAACATTTTACCCTTACCCTGAATCTGTTGGCATAAACTTCCCACGACCCAAGACCTCCAGTTGATTATCATAGAATTGTCGTCAAAGTTACACAAATATCGACCAATGTAATATTGAAATTTACATTTTTTGAAATTGAAATTTACATTTTAAAAAATATTTTTAAAAATCGATCAATTTGATTAATATTCGATACTCGATCGAAACGCGTGTCTTGTATCTTGTACCATGGAGATAAAAAATTACAACTTGTACATAGGCCTAATGATCGTGAATGTGGTTTAAACTTTCAACCTATTCTCAAAAACACTTTTTAGGCCAGGGACAAGTGGACAATACTTAAAAGAAGCGGGAGAGATCTAGCTGCGCTCCGGAATCGGGACAATCGGAATCTATGTTGATGGTGATGATGACGACGACGAAAGATGATGCAACGTCTACGACAACAATAAAAGTACAATACGAGACTCAAATAATTTAATTTTAGTTTTAATTAATTTATATTGAATAATTTGACATTTACAATAGAGGGCGCTATCGTAAAGTAAGATAATTTTTTCTTGCATTTGATTGGCTAAGCCATGTCCAGGTACCTGTGAATTCGCTTTGTAGAATTGTAATTATGTAAACAAAAGCAACGTGTCGTGTGTTGTTGAACAGATTTACTACAAACACAAAATTGTACAAATCAGAAATTTGAGCAAGGTTTCTGGCGATACTGTACGTCTAAAGAATCCATAGGTATGACTGTACAACTGTATACTGGAGCTGCTATGCCACTTATTGGGCTAGGCCTATGGAAGTCAAAATCTGAGGAGGTGGAGGTAGCAATCAAATCAGCTCTCAGCGTTGGTTACCGGCATTTCGACAGCGCCATGGTTTATGGGAACGAGAAGGAAGTGGGCCTAGCCTTAAAATCGGCTATGAAAGAAATGGTAATGTTTCATTCATTTAACTTACTGAAGTGCATAGAGTATGAAGCAAATTGTAGACTAAATATTTTAATTTAAAAAAAAATTCTTATATTCAAAATTGAATTTCTTTTTGATTGTGCCTCTTTCCACTGGGTATGGGCCTGTCACGCCAAAAATAATGGTCTGGGCCAAAAATGGTCCGCAGACAGATTTTGGAAGCCAAAGTCGGTCCGCCGGACTACTTTTGGCCTCTAAAATTGGTCCACCGGGTCGATTTTAGCCGCTAAAATTGGTCCCCCTTGGATAAAATTGGTCCGTCGGCTTAGTCGCTCGCATCTGCCCGTAGGCTATGATTGTTTCTTCCATGAAGTGAAGAGAAGTATGCTTTTCATACGCTTGAAAAATCTTTTTCAGTGACAGAATGATTCGTATTAGCTTTTGTGGACCCACGTATTTTATCAAACACACATGATATTGCATTCCAATGCCTAGGTGACACACATCGGCATTTTCGGCAGCTGTGCTTGGCCTGGGTTTTTTAGCCTAAAATGAAACAAGTCTGATTTATTAGCTTTAAATATTCCATATTATTGTGTGGTATTGGGTAATACAATAGTTGTTCTATTACATGAAAATAAAAGGGGTAAATATTTTTTTTTTAAATGATTGCTCATTATTCTGCCATTTCGTTGCGGCGTTAACCAAGCACACAACCAAAACAAAACAAGGTAGGCTTAAAAAATCAACTAAAGCGGACCAACACGATTTACGATGATATCGTTTAAGTTCTTTTCTAACTTTTACACCTAAGAGTTTATTGGGGGTGAAGAGCAAAAATAACACACTAATTTTTGTGCCTGTAAACTCAATTGCACACACAACGAATGAAAAACTATTATTATATGAGAGGAGATTTCTATCATTTGGTTAAAAACAAATTTGAACAACGCTAAAAAATACAGGTTATAACTACTAAAATAGATGCCGGACCGATTTTGGCTTATGTGGATTACATTTGGCAGGTAATTTTAAAGCCAAAATCGGTCCGACGGACCGATTTTGGCCCCGGCCCCGGCCCAAATTTTTCCTGACAGGCCCACCCGTCATATGGGCACATCACACAATTATACACAATGGCCATATTCGTCTGGTCGTTCTTCGTTAAACCACTCCCACCTGCACAGCAGCAAATCCTACTTAACGAAGACAACCAGTCGAATAGAAAACTTGTAAATACTCGACAAAAAAAAAATGGCTGCTTAGTTACCGCGATAAACGCAGTGTAATCAAGATTGCTTCAGCTTGTGCCAGTATGGATATCTGTCTCTTATACACATCTAGATGTGTATAAGAGACAGACGTCTACGACAACAATAAAAGTACAATACGAGACTCAAATAATTTAATTTTAGTTTTAATTAATTTATATTGAATAATTTGACATTTACAATAGAGGGCGCTATCGTAAAGTAAGATAATTTTTTCTTGCATTTGATTGGCTAAGCCATGTCCAGGTACCTGTGAATTCGCTTTGCAGAATTGTAATTATGTAAACAAAAGCAACGTGTCGTGTGTTGTTGAACAGATTTACTACAAACACAAAATTGTACAAATCAGAAATTTGAGCAAGGTTTCTAGCGATACTGTACGTCTAAAGAATCCATAGGTATGACTGTACAACTG